CCCTTGTAGGAATTACAGATATTTAATAGGACTTTCTTTGAAGAAGCATATCTTTTTTCAACTGATTTTGATTTCTGGTCCTCACAAAATCACGGGATGTATTCAAAAACATTTCGATTCATTGCATTTGTTATATTTTGCGTTCTTTCTATTTATGATATTTATTCAATTTTATAAGCAGACGGGATAATCTTTTTTCTATTTAACAGTTTTTCCCCCCGAAGTGGCAACAAACTTCATGTTTAAAAAAAATCAAAGAAAATGCCAATGCAAGAAATAAAGCTTTAAAATATTTCAGTGCATTGATTACCGGGAAAAGTCCCTATTTAAAGAAAAAATAGTCTGGAGAATAACGGGCAAGTGTATCTCGAGAAATGGCCTTTAACATAAAAAACATCAGTGAAGGAAATATTGGTAAGAGTATTCCGGGCTATCGAAATGGGCTACAGGTGGCGTAGAGTAGAACTCTCTACCTATGGTGACATTTCGGGATTCAAAGAAGAAGTTATGTTAGTTTCTGTCTTGGTTTTCAAATAGATTAAAACTTTTAAGTTAGGAAACCATATGGAACTGAAACAGCTACAACTAACATAGTTCTAACAGAAGGAATAGTTGAAATTGTAAAAAATATTATTGAAAATTAAATACGAAAAATATAATACGAAAATTAAATACGAAAGGGGAAAATATCGTAGTTCTTTCCCATGCAACTGAGAAGAGAGGGAAGGGGGAGAGTAGAGAGCGGTCTTCTCTTCAGATGGCGTATTCAAGCGTTGCGATCGAAAATGGCTCTTAACTTTAAAAAAAAAAAAAAAAAAAAAAAAAAAAAAAANAAAGAAAAAAAAAAAAAAAAAAAAAATCTGTGTGGGCTGGCAGAGAATATCTGACAATGGTCCTTACCTGTAAAATGAAATTAGCGTAGAGAATACCGGGCAAGTGTGCATCGAGCGTTGTTAATGTGCATTTAAATAGTAATTTTTTAAAAATATAAACTATATGTTTGAATTGAAGTGTTTTTTTTTTAGTTTTTATACCAAAATTTCTTTTCTGCTTTTAGCTGTCTTTGCAATTCTTTCTCACTTGTATAATTAATAAATTTATAAAAAATGAGTATTCAAGCAAGTGCACTTCTTATATTTTCATACAAATACCGCAGATGCATTATGAAGCATCTACTTATATTAAATAGATATGCATTTATTCTTTTATTATAATCGATAGATCGTATTGATTTAGGTTTATTACATTATAAAAACACATTTTCTTCAAGTGAAGAAATATCTATAAAGATTATAAAATATGAGTAAAAAAAAATGGTCTGATGATAGGATTAAAATGAAAGAGAGTGCAATTGAGCAACAGAATTCTTTCCCCCCGAAATTTCAAACTTCTCAAAAAAACGCTTACGGAACTGGAGGCAAGCTTTTATCTGACTTCAACAGAAATGCATCTTGAAATGTTCGTGCGGAAAAAAAAAAATGTTCCTTCGTGGAAGATGTACTTAGTGGAAGCTGATAACTTTGGAACGTTTCGTTACAAGAAAGCGTTTTGCTACATTCCGTTTTTTCCGTCACTGCGTAACTGCACTTCAGAAAGTTTCGGTAGAAACAATTTTCTCTATATGTTCTTTTTCAGGCGCAAATATGTATTTCTGTTTAAAAAAAGAGATTGTGTAAAGAGAAACTTATCGATTTGGTTTTCGGTTCTGTTCGAACTGTCTCCTGGAAAAATAAAGCTGTGTTTTCTACTCCATCAAAATTGAGGCGAAGATCTGCAATGAAATCTATGCTTTCAAGTTTATTATTTTTAGGATATAAAATTCCAGAGTCGTCGCAAGACTTTACGATGCCCTAGGCAGAAAGTTTTGCGGGCTTTTCCTTTAAATGTTCTATTTTTGCGGAGCCCTAAAAAATGAGAGCACTCAGAATTTCGTTAATTGGTCAGTGAAATGTGTGGACAAATTAAAATAAGTAAAAAGGGAGAAGTATTCATTTAGATGTGGGAAAATGTCGACAAATTAGCTAATTTATGACGTGCTCCTAAAAAATAGAGCTTCTCCGAATTCCGTTAGTGAACTCTTTACATAAAATGTCTTTGGTAAAGAATAGGTGTAGAGATATTCTATTTTGGAACTCAAGGTTGAAAACATACCATTGAATTATAATTAGATTTATATTTCAAAGGAGTTATTTTTAGAATCTTTCCCTCTTTATTAGGAAGCATTAAATGATTTTCCTTAATGCGTAGGGTTACAAGGTATGCGACGATTGAGCCTTTTCACTCGTTTTCTGTTAGTACTTAATGCAGGAGCGATTGTTTTCGCATGACTCTTTCTGTATGATGTATTCCATGTTAGATGTGCCGGAACCATCCAGAGTTTTGTCCACCCTCACCCTTGTGGACAGTGGATGTGAAATGTTGCAGCCACCAGCCTACCCGTAAATAAAACTAATGGAGGAATAATTGGTTCACAACTGAATTATTTGAGCTAATTGTAACCAATGACAACAGGGATGTAGTCCTGTTATTACAAGCCTAGCAGGAAACCTTTCGCGGAGGAAACCTTTTGAAAACCAGTGTTTATCTATTTGAAATATTAGCCTATCGTCCGACTGGCTGCTAAGTTGAAGTTTTCCCCATCCCATCACACACGCCGGGGAAAAAAAAAGAAAATATCGCCTAATCGGTGCTGAAGGATGAAATCACACCCCGTCTGTTCCACNAGGAAACCTTTTGAAAACCAGTGTTTATCTATTTGAAATATTAGCCTATCGTCCGACTGGCTGTAAGTTGAAGTTTTCCCCATCCCATCACACACGCCGGGGAAAAAAAAAAGAAAATATCGCCTAATCGGTGCTGAAGGATGAAATCACACCCCGTCTGTTCCACTACCTGTACCTTCGCTGCTACGGAAATGCTGATGTAGAAGGGAACTTGACATCCTGGAAACCATTTGATGTGCGTCCCATCCATAGAGTTGACCGATGACCCTACAGTTCTTAGTGCTCAGAGGAAATTTCACTTTGATTCAAATATGAATCAGTTTCTTACAAGAGTTGTTCGTGAAAAAAGTGAAAACAACAGTTTTGTGCGCGAGTATAAATCATGAATATGCATGAAGAGCTAACAAGATTTAGTGTGCGAATAAAAAATGATATATTTTTTTCACCTTCTTCACCTAAATTCATGAAGGTCGAAGAAAAGTGTTGACGAAGGGAAAGTGAGAGCAGATATTTTTTTTCTCTCATATTTTTCTTTCTCACTCTTATGATTAAATATTTTATTCTTATTAGATATGAGTAGTGGTTTAAACTTTTTATTATGAGATTTAATCAATTGAATATTATTAATGGTTGAATTGCATTTCGTATGTTTACCTTGCTTTTTTTTTAAAATTATAATATTGTTTAAAATGTTTTTGAAATAAATAAATGTGGTTCAAACGTCAATTAAACTAGTGACGGCAAATAAAATTAAGTTATTATTCAAACTTTTCTTTCCTAATCCAGATTTATCCAGATTAAATCGTAATAAAATACTGAATTTTTCAGAATTTTCCTTTGAATCTAATGATGAAGAATTTTTAGATAAATTGAAAGAAATTTGTAATACTTTTAATTTTTCGGAATTAATCAAAATTACTGATATTCTGAATATTTCCAGTGAGGAAAATAAGAATGAAATTGCAAAACATATTTTAATTTGCTTATGTGATTTCAATTATTTAAAAAATTCTATCGTAATGGAAAATCCCTCTGAAGATGAGGATGAAATTAGTCAGTTTAAATGTAAAAAAACTCTAACTGATTTTGAATCACATTTATCAATTAAAACTTGTATAAGTTAATTTACAAAAGTTAATTTATATTCTAAAAGTTGTATTCATAAAGATATGGTATCCTATAGTCAAAGTTCTAATAATGATGTAAATAATAGAGAATCAGAAACAAAATTAATCATTAAATAACTTGTTAAAGAAAGATGTAAAATGGGTGTGGTCAGAAAAGTGTCAACAATCTTTTGAACTTCTAAAAAATGCTATTATTTGTAAACTAATTTTGAGAATTTTTAATCCAAATTATGAATGTCATCTTTTTGTTGATGCATCGTTAGTTGGAATAGGTGCCGTGTTAAAATAGACAGATGAATGTGGTGCATTGCATCCAGTAGTTTTTCATTCTCGTTCATTAAGGGATTATAAAAAAAACTATGCAATTACAGAACTTGAATGTCTTGCTATAGTAGATTCTTTAAATAAATTCCATCATTACCTTTTTGGCCAAAAATTCACCATACATACTGACCATGCAGCTTTAATTTGGCTGAAAAATTTTAAAAATTTAAAAGGTAGATTATTTAGATGGTCATTACTGTTAAGTATGTATGAATATGATATTAAATACACAAAATGTTCTACTAATTTTGAAGCAGATTGGCTTTCGAGAGATGCAACACATTCACTTGTCAAAATCAATAGTAAAAATAATAATGTTCATATTTCACATTTTTAAAATTGAATGAAATAATTGAAGCTCAAAGGAAAGATAGCTTACAAGATAATTTTTTTGATATCAATAATGTTTTATGTATAAGTAGGAAAAATTTTAATAAAATAGTTGTTCCATTTTCGTTGAGATTAAAACTACTGCAAATTGCTCATGAGAAATTTAATTATCCAGAAATACAAAAAAATGACTAACTTAATAACCCCTGTTTATTATTGGAATAACATAACCTCAGATATAACAAAATTTTGTAAACATTGTCATACGTGCCAATTAAATAAAAAACCGCGACAAAAAAGATTTGGATTATTACAATCCTTACCCCATGTTAATCAATCTTTTGACTTACTAGCAACAGATAGTGTTGGTGGATTAAATTACTATAATTCAACAAAAAAGTATTTAACTTTAATTATTGACCACCTCACAAGATACATTTGGGTTTTTGCATAAAAATCCATTAGCTCAGAAACTTATACTAATTTTTTACATCAAATGTTTCAAAATCAAATTCCTAAATCTTTGTTGAGTGATCGAAATGCTGTCTTTACTTCTTCTCATTTTAAGAAATTTTTGAAACATAATAAAATTCAACAATTATTGACAACTACACATTATCCGCAGTCTAATGGCAAGGTAGAACGCCTTGGTCAAACAATAATTGCGTGTTTAAAATGTAAAATTAATGAAAAACCTACTAAAACTCCTTGGCCTACTTTGTTAAAAGATATAGTTAATATTCATAACTTAACTCCCCATTCTGCAACAAAATTTCCACCTGCATACCTCATGCATGGTAGACTCCCCTATGAAAATCCCTTAAATGAAGAAATCTATCCTCCTGTTGAGGAAGCTAAAAAAATAGCAATTCAAAGAACTAAAGAAAATCATGAAAGAAATGAAATTTATTATGATGCTAAATTTTTGGATATAGACTTTAAAACTGATGAATTGGTTATGTTTGAAGAATTTACTTATCCTAATACGAGGAATTTGTCACCTCCTTTTATAGGACCGTATAAAATTCCTCAATAAATTTCAGAAACTAATTACAAAATCAATAAAAAGTATAATTTAAGTAAGCAAAATTTTGAAATAGTACATGTATCAAAACTTAGGAAATATCACAGCCTGTTGTTGTAGTGTGTCACATGTGTGTTTTGTACATGTATCAAAACTTAGGAAATATCACAAATGTTGAAATTAAATCATGAGTAGTGTCCAAAGGAAAAGAGTTTTTTGTTTAACTTTCTTCAATGGAAGAAGTAAACCCTATATTTTTGGGAGATCTGAATCGCCTGTGGAGATGTTTACCTCAGCATCATTTGGATGAGAGGGCGATGAAAGTTGAACTTTTTTTTCTCTCAACAAGGTGAGAAAAATTTTTATAAACTATTTTTGTATAGTTCAATCTGGATCTCTCAATATCACGGTGCTTTATGAAATTTTGTTTTCCTCCATTTTAAAAGGGAATACAGCTTTGCATCAAGTAAATAACCCCTTTAACCATACAGAATCTTATATTCTGATTAAATGACACTTGTTGTCCAGTTCGTTCGAATAAAAATTTTTTTATGTTTTTGTGTGAAAAAATTTGTGAAAATTTTAGTAGAACAGTTATATAAATATGTTTCATTTTTCTTTCTGTTTAGTTGACTAAACAGATAAATGGTATTATCATATTTTCATTTTTGTCATTGTAAATAATTGTTTTTTTGCACATAATTGAAAAAAAATGTTATTTTTAGTAGGGAAAAGGAACAGTCGTACCGACCTAAATTTTAAAAATTTAAAGTATTCTAAATTTTTTTATTTTTGCTTAACAAAAATTTTTTTTTTGGGGGGGGATTTAATACAAAAATTATAAATACTTTTGTAGTAGTAAAAGCATTAAAACTCCTTACGTAAAATGTCTTTGGTAAAGAATAGGTGTAGAAATATTCTATTTTGGGTCTCAAGGCTGAAAACCTACCATTGAATTATAATTAGATTTATATTTCAAAGGAGTTATTTTTAGAATTTTCCCTCTTTCACTTCCATATTAGGAAGCATTAAATGATTTTCCTTAATGCGTAGGGTTACAAGGTATGCTACGATTGAGACTTTTCACTCATTTTCTGTTAGTTCTTAATGCAGGAGCGATTGTTTTCGCATGACTCTTGCTGTTTAATGTATTCCATGTAAGATGTGCCGGAACCATCCGGAGTTTCGTCCACCACCTCCCTTGTGGAGAGTGGATGTGAAATGTTGTAGCCACCAGCCTATATAATTTTTCAGAATTTTCCT